CCCCAGGTGACGCGGGGGGCCGGAGCCGTAGGGGGACCCCCGCATGCCTGGGCACGACTTGAGACCTTCTGACGGACGCGGTGTTCACTGACTTCACCTGCGTGCTTTGCCTTCTCAAACCTGTTTCCTCGCAGTCTGCGCCCGTGCCGAGCCTGGCTGCGGTGGGCCAGGAGGGAGGTTGCAGGGACTGATCAGCTGCTGATCATGGATCACACTGCATTTGTTGAAATGCATGTAAGTGCACCGTGTGGGTGCAGTAAGTTCAGCCTTCAGGGAATGCCTTTGCTCTAGAGACACTGAGCAACTGTGCCTTTTCTTCCTCAAGCCGTATGTGTGCAGTATAAATTGTTTGCACAGAAGCAATAATAATGACATATTTCCCTGAATCTACTGTGAAGTTCCTTAATATTTTGTTCACTTCCCATTAACACTGAAAATCTAAATACCATAACTACAGTTCTTATTTGTATAGATTATAATAACTATTAGATAAGTACTTCATGGTAATACATTATGATAATGCTATTATTATGGTGACTATAATTTATTGCATATGGTGATCTGAAATTTAATAAATTATGAAGTGAATATAAACTCTCTCGTCTGAAATGCTCAGTTCTCCTGGAGGAGTGGGGTTATACTTTTGAGGTCATTTCACACAGGTTCTGTTTTAAGAGCAGAATACCTGCACCTCTCCTTAATTCCCCAAGTGTCGACTGGGCAGCCTGTCCTCAGAGCCTGCAGCAGCCCCTGGCTTCCCTGCAGTCCCGCCATCCAGCCCCGCAGCACCAGCCCTGTGGTGACTCTGGCATCCCCAGAAAGATCTCACCAAATTTAGTTGTAAATCAAACTCAGCTGTTAGTTTCCCCTATGCAATAGAGGAGAATTACACCTTTTGAAATAGCGTAACAGAAAAATCAGTTTAGAAAAGGACCAGTTCCAGCGAGCAGTGCGGTTCGCCGGGCTCTTGGCATACTGCAAAGCAGACCGAGAACTCAGATTTGGCTCCACATCATCCAGAGAAACAGAAGTGAGTTATGAATGCGGAATTGGACTCAGTTTTTCTGCAGGTTATGCCACATTTGCATGATAGACTATGTTGAAAATACTTAAAAATAGCCAAGACTAGTTATTTATAAGCATGTCCTCTAATACCCTTCTGGTTTAGAAAAAAAACATTCCCATGACTCTGCTCAGAGCACCAGAGATAAAACAATTCAGAAGAATGATAGGCCAGCTACAGTTTTTTTGCCTACAGTAAAAACTCCAAATTGCCTGTAAGTCAGGGAGACTAGAACCAATCCTTTAAATTACTTAATAGAATGGATAATTGCAATTATTTATAGTGTGGGGAACCATATCCAAGCATTCCCTGAGAGCACCACGCTGGGGAATGCTACGCCCAGTGTGCGGAGCAGCACCAGCTCCCTCGAGCACCCCCAGGGCTGCGCGACGCAGCACCGGCCTCCCGACAGCGGGAGGTGGAAGAAGTGTCTGCAGCCTTCACTGCAGCCTGGACGGCGGCAGGAGAGCACCGCTGGGCACCCTGCCCTGCCTCCCGTCGCTCCCGGGCTCAGCACCGGCCGCAGAGACCTCGCTGGGGCAGGGGAGGGTGATGCGTGGTGGTCCCTTCTCCCGGGAAGACCAAGAGAGAGCTGGGTTATAGACGGACCTTCTTGAAGGAGCCTCCGAGGGCTTTTCAGAACTGCCCTGGCTCAGAAAAATCTGCTTTAGGGTGGGATTTGCTCCAGAGGCGGCTGCTGGTTTTGCGGCATTCGACCTGCTCCAGTGCAGTGTCCCACGCGCAGCTGCAGCTGTTTCACCCACTCGTGACACATCCCCATAAAACTATCCATAGTGACACAAACTGCCTCAAACAGGCTGTTTCCAAAAAAGGCCAAACGGTGCCCAACCACAGCCCCAGACACTCCTGCTGCCTCCACTCCCGCTCCAGGCCTTTGGGGTGCAGCGTCTTTCCTCCTGCTCTGGCGGGTTTTCAGAGGCATTTCTTGCACCCAAAACAGAAAGCAGGGGGGTGATGCAGCCACCAAATCCATCTGCCTCTGGGGTATAACACGATGGGACCCCAACAACCCTGCTGCAAGAGGGTGCTCTCAGAACCGCCCCCACCCGCGGGTACCAAATCAGCTTTATACTGCCCTGCTGCTTCCCACGTCCCTGACTCTGCTGCTGGGGGGACACTCCCCCCGTCTCCTCCACCCCGGACCACCGAGCTTTCCACAACGCCCCTCCTGGGCTTTGTTACAGGCTCGCCACGCTCTTGGCCCCCGATACCAAACCATGTGCCCAGCTCCGATGGGGCCGAGGCGTGCCGAGGGAAGGGCTGATGCTGGGGCACCCTGTGTGGTTTGGGGGCAGGGGGGCAACAGCAGGACAGGCCCAAGGGTGCCGGCGCTGAAGACACGGGCACAGGGCACAGACTGCTGTGGGGGCCAGCGAGGAGCTGGGCTCTCTGCCCTGGCCGTCCACACCGGGACCCGTGGCCCCTATAACCACGTAACCACCGTGAAAGCACGCAGCCAGAACCCACCCACTCCGCGGCGCCGCGCTGCAAGGGGGTGACAGCCTCGTTGGGGCTGCAGCCGCCCATTTGCCCCGGACAGAGGCATCCCTGTGCCTGGCCCGCAACACGCGCCACGTCGGGACAGCAGCACCCTGGCTCGTGCGACGGTCCCTCCAATTCCCCGTAGCCACCTCTAGCCCAGAGGTACCAACAATCAGGGGAGCCCGAGCCACCACCTGCCAACATTCTTTCCTTGTAGAAAGCAAAGTCCTTGAAGAAAGCCACGAGTGCGGCAGAATGACAGCAACACCGATGGAAGTGGCTGCTGCTGGCACGTCCTACGATTGCCCAGACATTGCTGCTCGCAAACATTTGCATAACACGATTGATAAGATCCTGTGACTTAGGAGTTTTATAGTCCCTCTTGTCTCATTACATTTAAATTATTGGCCCAAGTGGCATCCCTGATTAATAAAGGCTACTTACAAAAAAAGTGAACATGTTTATTGGATTTTTACAGTGGAAAAAGGCAATTTTTCTTGGTTGCAATTTTGGCAGGTTTGTGCTTTGTGAACAGCAGCACATCTCGCAGCGGTCTCAGGAAAAATTGCGATTAATCGTTATGAAACACCCAGCCACTGGAGGCCCCTCGCCCTCACCGTGTTGCCTCCTCTGCTGCTGCTCGCCAGGGCTGCACGTCGGAGGGCTCAGAGCA